TTTTTTTTTTTTTTTTTTGGGGGGGGGGGGGAGGTTGAGGAAAGAGGATGATGTTGGTTTGTAGGGTTGTTGGAGGTCCGTTACACAACCCTTACCATAGGTGAACTGAGAGAGGAGGGAAATGTTGTATACATGTAGATATATACTAACATTTACTAATAATGGTAAATTATATAATTATTTATTTATTGTGGTTAAGGTGACTGTTGAAGAAAAGAGTTACAACCTTTCAAATAAAGTATCTATTGACATTTAAATGAAGAGTCACAACTCTTCTAAAGAGGTGTATGAAACACTGTAAATATAGGGTTCCTGTTATTGGCATGATGAATGAAGTCGGTTGTTAATTTCTTATCTCTTATCTCTTATCATATTTTGTTGAGATTGTTTTTCAAAGTTTCATTTGGGTTGAGTTCTGGTTCTAAAATGATACTGTTTTATCAATATCTAGTAAAGGTCTTTTATGGATGAAGAATTTTATAAAATGCATTCATTTACTGATATACTTCAAGTATCAGTGACTTTGCATTGTAACCCCAAACAACATTAAATCATATCAAAAAACTTATGAGGAAAAAGGTAAAGTTATAATGAATGTTGCCTAATGATCAAATATGAGTGGATCTATATTAAACAAAACCACTAAAGTGGTCAACTAATTAGTAAATTCTTAAGGATAAGTGTGAGTTGATGCTTAGTTAAGTTATGGATTGTTTATATATATAAATTCTTGAGTTTTACCTAACTTAGAATAATTGATGTATTTTTTGGGATAGATATGCTAACTATCTACCATGCCATTATGGACTATTTTAGGAAACGGATGATCGTTTATTTTCGGTTAGAAAAAGGATGGTAAGCATGAATCTTTAAAGCATTGGGTTTTGTTTATAAGGCATAAGTTTTGGGTTAGCCTTCAGGTCATTGGTATTTATGATGAACGGTTTAGATTTAAGTGTGTTGAGGGGTCACATGATATAATGCTATTTGGTGATTATTCTATGATTGGTGATAGTGATCCTTTTATTTTATTGAAAACCCTACAACATTATGAGAGTATAAGATCAAAGTATGTTGAAGGGAGTGAGGGATGATGGAATATGACGAGATTATTGTTTAAAGTTTAATCGATTTTTGGTGTTTAGTAGAAATTTAGGGTTGCCTGAACGTTTGGAAAACAATAAAGTATTGTTATTCCATTTGTTGTATGTCAACAAGGTAAACCAGGGTATCCTTAGGATACTAAAGCCTTAGTACAGAAAATGTTTTATTAAGTTATCAGAAATACTCGAAAAACTAGAAAATTACGGAATGATTAGGATTTTTGCTTATGCTGTAAAAATTTTAAGAGTGATATATCTTCCTCTAACGTGAGTACAATGTTCAATTGTGATCTTTTAGATGAATATAATAATGTAAAATTTTTGACAGTGATATATCTTCTCCTAACATGAGTACAATGTTCAAATATGATCCATTGGAGGTATATAATAAAGTAACCACGAACAAGTGTCAGTTCTAGGAATAAGAGTAGGAATTGTGTTTATGCTTCTTAGACGAATCAGAGATCATGTTATAATCATGTATTTGAGGTTATTAGTATTGGCTTTGAAGTACTATTGAGAGTTGGCTAAGGTTGTTTTGAAAGTATTAATTGTTTAGAAAGGTCTTAAGAAAGATAATCACTTGGTTGAGTATAAAGTTGAGAGTTCACTGTATCCATAAATGTTAATTGAGAATTTAGGTCAAGGTATGGATACGAACTTAGAGACATATGGAAAGAAAATCTAGGAAGTTTGCAAAAGGTTCCGTTTGAACGCAAGTCTAACAAAACTTGAGATACTGGTAACAAAGTTCGTTCCACCGCCAATCTTTGTTCAAATGTGGATGCGCGATTTCTGACAATCAAGTTTGCGATGACAACATCGTTTTTGATCCTATAAATACCCTAAGGACGTACTTTAGGTTATTTTTCAGCAACTTTCAACCCTGGTAGGCTAAGGAGAATTGGGAGAATGACAAATGAAGAGATTCTGATGGATTTGCATGGAGAAAATCATAATCCAACATGTTAGAATCAAGATTCAAGGAGATTAAGGTAGGATTCTTTCTAGCCTTTCAAGTTTTGTTTTCTAATCAATTATATATGATAGATATACAATGTTTTTGTACTTTTTTTTTATAAGATGACCTGTTTCTTGGGAGAATTACATGTTTGTTTTTTTTGAAAAGTGAAGAATTACATGTTTTATCTCACAAATTCCATGTGCTTGATTTTTTAAACCTTAGTTCTTGATTACTATCAATTCAAAGATGTTTCTTGGGGATCTTTCACATGTTTTCTTGAAATTATTCTATTTTGACAATTTTGAAACTGTAATTTGTGATTTAATGAAAATGATCTGTTGTATTAGTGGGTGTGATGAATGTGAGTTACCTTCGACCGAGTATCATAGAGTGTATAAATATGTTTCTTATTCTGAGGGGTTTGAAGGATTCCCAATTACTCGTGTAGTGGAATTGCTTGGTTACTTTCGAGATTCAAGAATTTATACTATTTACTCACGGGGATCGAGTTTGTGGGCTAGTATACTATTCCTGAGGGGATTTGTCACTGTCGATGCGTCGGTATACACCCTTCCTAAAGTATTGTATCCTTGCGAGGATTAGGTGTGTGCGAGTGTGAGTCAGAATATTCTCCATATGTATATTCATATTAAGTCGACCCACGCACATGAGGTATATTTGTTCTAATCAATTATTGCCTTGAGAATTATTTGTCTTTTATATAAACCTTACCGTTTTAATACCATACACTTTAGATTTCACTAATTGTCCTTATTTTATTTCGAAATTATGTTATGTTATTTCATCCAATCAGACCTACCGGTTTAACTGTTTTAAAACCTTGCTTGAACTTGAGAAAGTTTTCTAGGGGGCTTCTGCTCATTCTATCTTATAAATTTATTTTTTAGACTTTGGCTTTGAGGAAGACACGGACTCTCAAGCGGATCAGTATGTGGATCCTGGAGTAGATGCCTAGTGATGTTTGGTTGTACTTTAAATTTCAGAATTCTGATTGATGGAATAATTGTTTTGGGAATAATACTTTTAATGGTTAGTTGAAGAACTCCTACTTAGGTTTTGGATGTGACTGTGAGGTTCTAATTATGTTTTGGTTGGGATTAGTTTTATTGTTTACTTAATTGATGGACGTTTTATTTTAGTTAATTACTATTTAGATGCTCTCATTTTTTTTTTTTGAACAGACAATAGAACCAAGCTGATACAACCACTTAAAAAGTTGAAGTAGCGGAAAGACCTATATACTTATATACACACCCAAAGCTATCCGATGTGGGATAGTCCAATCTCCCAGAGACACACTTATGTACCACCTTTTTTATAGGGGACCGGCAGAAATCCCACACCACACGCACCCAGACGTGT